CCTTGACCCCGACATTTGAAGAACTATGTGAGTGGTATTTCTAATAAAGTTATGTTATTAATGTTTTGACGAGCTTTGTTTTGCTTTGTTTTGAAAAGTATTTGTTAAGCATGAATGATTGTCCCTATTTTGTATATCATGTATTATCTTGTTTTGATGACCTCCTCGGGAAGTCCTTAGTGCCAGGGAACTATAATGCAACTGCACATCTTGTTTTGAAAGTCCCTTGTGCTGGAGGACTCTAAACTTTCGCAGTACTCTCGTGTTAGGAGGCTACGGGCCTTTGCAACATAGGTCCTTTGTGCTAGAGGACTCTAAACTTTTGTAGCACCCTTGTTTGAGATATCTCCCTTGCCTTGTTTTGTTTTGCCACTGACGATTTACCGCGTGGGTTTGTTTGCCGGAATTTCATCATTTGTAATATGTTGATGCTAGTAAGCATCCCTTGAAGCTTTGAAGATTTGTTAGGTGGGCGAGGTCCATTCCTTGTTATATGAAGTTTTGATATGTATCGTTTTGAAAAAGGACCTCGGCTATTGTTCATGCAAACCCTTTATTATTTATATCATTCACTGAGTATCCAAGCTCACCCTCTCTGTATATATGTAGGTGATGAGCAAGAAGGCGATGACACCTAGATGTGATTCGCGAGCTTGTTTTGGATTTTTGGTTATGTCAGCTTGATTTGTATTTACGTCGGCAGTCTTGAAAATTATGCTTCTCGACTTGTAATATTTGTATTTTGCACACGTCAGCTTGAGAAGCCATTTGATCAAGATGCAATTTGTACTTTGCTTCATTTGTAACCAAGTTGTAATCCATGTGTAGATGTTTGCCATTTCATTTGACTTACGCACAGCTCTTATGGACTAATCTGATTTGTATATATTGCTTCCGTACTTGTGAGTCCCATATATTTATACTCTGTTGTTTGTGGATTTTGGAAATCGGCCTTGGGTAATCTCAGATTACTGGCCATCACAACACCATCCTACTAGGGGCGGTTTGGGGTCGTGACATAACTCCTCCAGATCTTCTTTTTGGGTTCTAAGGTTTATATCTGAGGATATTTTGCTAGTTTTCTTTGATGTTTTGATTGAGTATTCAACTCATGGTTTAAAGAGTATACATCAAAGGATTATTTGGTTGTTCTATACAAAAGAGAGATTTGTTCTTCGGTGGATTCTAAAGAATTCGAGCCTGAAGCTTTGGTGGATTCCGGAGTGGCTCATCGTCAAGACAATTCCGAGGTGAAGACGAGGTTGGAAGAGGCACAAAGAGGTTGGTTTAATTCGGGCGTGGATTCGCTAGGTAATTGAGGGTATACCTGTGTAATTCCTTTTTTATCTTCTTAGTGGATTATTTTGTAGCTGTTGCCCATGGTTTTTTATCACAACTGGAGGTGTCCAATTGTGGTTTTTTTCACGTAAAATCGTTGTGTCGATTTGCCTTAATTGTTTGATTGGGATTGTTACATATTGCTTAAAATTGATACATAATCACAAATCAATATCTAGCGGGTTTCTAGTTTTTTCAATCTATATTTTTTGGTTTTTAAATCTACCTATAAAAATAATAAATAAAAAAAGTTGATATATACTGGTTGATTTTTGCTTTAAAAAATAGATACAGATGTAACAATACAGAGATATACAATCTCTATTACTATTCATGGTTTTGGTAGTTTGAATTGTTTTTATATTTTAAGAATCACAAATTGTAATACTTTATGTAGATGAGGCATGCAGTGATTTTAATATATTAAAGTTTTAAACTTTCTTTCTTTGATGAGGTGTGCAGTGATTGTAATATTTATTTCAGTCATTGACTATAATACTTCTTTTTTTTTTATTTTTTATTTTATTTGAGGAAGTGCACAAATTGAATTATGTTGAAAATTTATCAAATTTTAAACTGCCAAACCGATTCGCACATCTGCCGAATTGGCGAACCGATGCTGATTGATTTTCTCCAATCTGCCAATCTAGCGAACGGATGACGAATTGGAGATTTTATGGCCACAACCGATCCGCGCTCCCCCTTAGTTTTATGTTTCTTAAAATGGACTAGATTCTGGGGTGTTTTAAAAAAATGGTAAAAGTTGTTTTGGCTTTTTTGTCAGAAAGAAAAATGGGTTAAAAATTGGGAAGTGGCTTTTAATCCACTTCTCATAATGAGTCTCTCTCTAATAGTTCATCGGACTAGATAGTGATTCAAACTGTTTACACTTATATTATGTTTACAAAAAATTAAGTTAATCGAATAGTGAAAAACACGTGTTTGGATCAATTTAGTATGAACCGTTTATTTTCTCACTGTCTATTTTTATCATACAAAGTAGCCTTGTATACACTAAACATAAAAGATACAAAGCATCTTTTGTTAGTGTTCTTTTTATTTTAATAAAAGCATCATTGATTGAAAAATTAAGGATAGAGTTATAATTCAAACCAAAAATGTTCGCTTGTATATGCATAAAACCAGACTCTCTTTACTTACATATTCATTATTACCAACTATTTTATCATAAACTTATAGGATAGATTCACAGATTTTCTACTCCAAAAGTTTTCAGAACATTACCAAATGCCTATCAAAATTAAAAAAGGACTCAATTCAACTCGACAAAGCCTTGTCCCCGTTATTTGGGGTCATCTAAATAATTCTTGTTTCAATTTTTTTTTGAAAAAGAACTAAATGTTAAAAGTTGAAAAAGAACATTGAAAATTAAAATTTCATAGAAGGAATGGAAAACTGTATTGAAATTATTAAAACATAAGCAATATGTGTATTGGAAAAGAACAAGGAAGAAAGAAACGAAAGCTGATGCAATAGAGATCCAATTATTTGGTCACTAAGGAACACAAAAGAAAAGGATAAAAAGAAGGTTCGATTGACAAAAAAGAAAAAATTTACAAGATATGATCCATTTGGACCTAAAGGATCAATTCCAACAAATATTGGACTTAAAATAAAAAGCGAAATTTATTTATTTCGAAATTTTTTAAATCTTATTGGAACTGTCCATATACGGTTCGTCCTTCGAAACCATATCACATCCCGGATCTGATGAAATAGGATGAATTGAGACGGTATTTTGTAAATACGTAATTATCTTGAACATATTAACCATTTGAAGCGTAAAAATTCGTGTAAGCTGGTGGGAACCATGTGAATCACGGATTTCTTGAGTGTTCGAGTTTATTTATGGCATGAAACAACTCGTAGCATAGGTCTAGCTTATTGATACGTTCCAGAAAACTCCACTTGAATTCATTTAATTTTTTTATTGGCAAAAACTCGTGCTCGAGAATAACATTTTTATTTTTTTCGAGTACGAGTTTTTCTGGTCTAAGTGTATCTTGTCTTTACCACGAATTATTTTCCTTGGTTAACAATAATTGTAGTTTTTCCAATTTTTGCAGGTTCTTTAATTTTCTTTCTTCCCCATAGAGGAAATAGGGCCACCCGCTAGTATACTATATGTATATGCGTCTCAGAACTCCTTCTAACGACTACTTCAGATAATCTAAGAGTAAAAATAAGACCAGAGCAAAAATTGTTGGCAAGAGAGACACATAAAAGTCACCATTCTGCATTATTATGAATCAACCTAGGATGGGAAGCGAGAAGTAATAGGACCTCAAATTAACCCAAAAAATTTAGAGCTGCTGGGAGTTGGAGAAGTGCTTCCAACATGTCGTCTGGTCAAAGAATATAAATAAAGAGGTACAATAAAACAAGACATCCATGGGACCAGCCATGCTTAATAGGTAGTCAAAAACCATGTAGATAAAATGGGCAAAGCCAAGATTGGAACTCTGCAATTGATGAGTGGCAATGGAAGATAAAATAAGAAGCAAAAGAACTAACGAAACTAGAAGAGGAACAAAATGAGAAGATAAGTCTATGTCATCTGTGTTGAGAATATAACATAAATAATGAAGTTACCTGTCTCTCTAACAGCTTGAGCTTTTAGATGAGTTGGTGGTCAACAATTTGATAATTTGAGATAGTCTGAAGACGAAAGAATAAATAATAAGAGTGCCTTTTGAATGAAAAGAGTAATCTATTCCCTGTGGATAATGCTGCAGCGAAGCCAAACCATGAAACGATCTAATAATCAAGATTATATGATAAAGTCTAGTTAAAGACAAATGATGATTGGCTGCACAAATTTTAAAGAAGTAATTAATGCACAACATTCAAAATTAATAAACAAGTTATTAGATCTCCGAAATTAAAACAAAAAATACATCTTTTTTTTTTTGAAAAAATAAAAATAAAAATAAAAAATAAAATAGAAAAAATAAAAGAGAAAAAGAAGAAGTGAGACAAAAAAAACAAAGGTCAAAAGCCCCAGCAATAATGAACTTCAATTTGTGTTGTCTCAACTCTCAATGTGCAATAACTCAGGGGCCCGTCTGAACAAAAAAAACCTTGAAATGAACTTCAATTTACCATTCACACAATTAACACGTTATTTTAAACTCTTACGAAGGCAAACTTACAAAATTAAATCCACTGCATTTTGTTTTTCATAAAGGAAAGAAAAAAAAATGCAATGACTATAAAATATTTAACATAGTAGAAACATGGCCTGGTGGTTAAAAAAAGTTGATTTTCTGTTCATAACAGATTTGATGGTTTATCTGACTCAGAACCTAAACTGGAAGATGTGTCAACTGGTTGAATCGATTGGTCCAGTCTGGTTTTTAAAACACTAGTATCAACAATCCTGCTACTTACTTCTTACTTCCACCCTGAGCTCCAATTGCACATCCTCTGGCATCTCTGTTAAGCACATTGATTGAGTCATCTCTGAATCATAGACAAAGTCACAAACAAAGACAATTACAAAATGAAACAACCAAACTTGTTATTGAGGAAACTAAGCTCCTCTTCAGTTGATAATACTGGAGACTAAGTGACAGCAACACCTTGACACAATGACTCATTAAGATGCCTTAGAAAAAAGTAGCTTTAGAAAACCTAGGTGGTTATTTGGAAAATGAAGCAGTGCCAAAAAAAGCACGAAGCATTTCCTTTGATGAATTATCTAATCCATCATCAAACAACAGGTTAACTATCAAGGTTACAGTGCATGGGTCCACAGAGACAGCTCTATCATCCATTAGGTGAAGCAGTTGCAATGCTTTCTGTATTCCATTATTTTCTAGAAATCCTTGAACCAATATATTATACGAGTAAAAATCTGGTGAGCATCCTTCTTCTTCCATTTTCATTAGCAACTCGCTTGCTTCATCAAGTAGCCTTCCCTTGCAAAGTCCATTGATCATTATATTGTATGTGCGGACATTAGGTTTCAAACCTTTAGAAGAAAGACTCAAGTAGAGTTTTCTTGCATCATCGAGCTTCCCAGCTTTTCACATACCATGTATTAGGTTATTATAGACAACAATATTAGGAACTAATCCAGCTGTTTCAATCTTTTCAAATAATGCCAATGCCTCATCAAGATATTGGTTGTTGAATAGGCCATCCAGCAAAGTAGAGTAAGTAATCAGATTAGGAATTTGGCCATGAGTTTGCATCAAGTGCATCTCGAGGTCTTCTTGTTTGGCACAAGCCAACAATAAGAGTGTTGTAGGTAACAGTATCCGGAAGCAATCTTTTTCTAGACATTTCCTTAAAGAGATTCATGGTTCATCTATGTTTTTGATCTTACAGTACCCATTTATCAAGATGTTATAAGTGATAACATTAGGAGCACAACCCCTACTGACCATAACATCAAAAATTTTCCTTGCCTCATCTACTTGGCCACACAGACAATACCCATCCATTACAGCATTATAAGTGACAACATTCGGCACCACACCTCTTTGGATCGTCAATTCAACCACATCTTGTGCTTCTTTGGCCTTTCCTTCGTTACAAAGTGCATCAACTAAAATGCTAAAAGTTTGAACATTTGGCGAGATATTCTTACCAACCATTTCATTCAACAATCTTATAGTTTCTTTCCACTTACCTAAACTACATACACCTTGAATTAATGATGTGTAAGTGACGACATCTGGTGAAATTCCTTTACCTATCATTTTCGAAAAGAGCTTGAAAGCCTCGGTTACTAGTTTGTCCTTGCAAAGGCTATCGATGACCGTGCTGTATTCCACTAGTCTAGGCTCACAACCTTCCAGTTTTTCCATCTTTCTGAGCAAAAGAATAGCAGCACTACTGTTACCAATTTTGCATAGTCCATTTATTATAGTGCTATAAGTAATGAAATTGGGTTGGAACCCTTTCTCCACAATTTCATCAAAAAACTTAACTGCAGAAGCGATATTAGCATTAACACAAAGCCCCTTGATGAGGGTATTGAAGGTTACGGTGTCTGGTTCATAACCTATGAAGCATGGGTACTCCAAAAATAGTGTCATACGAGTACCGGGTACTTACCGGGTGCGGGTATGCGTACCGGTACGGCGGTATGCGTACCGAGTACGAAAAAAGAGGGTCCGGTACGTTTGGCTCATTTGGGTACGGCGTGGGTACGCCATGGGTACGTCAGGGCCTTTTTTTTTTTCTGCCTTTGCAGATTAGCAATTATTATTATTATTATTTTAATTTTTTTTTGTGCCCTTGCAGATCAGTAATTTTGATGTTTCTCTGCTATCCTATCTGTCTGTATGAATTGTATAAGCATATCAGCAAATGATTTTGATGTTTTTAAAAAGTAATTTGAACAAAAAAAAAATAATAATAAGGCCTATAAAGGGTAGTTCTGTGTATGACTATGCATTATGCTTTTGCTTCAGATCCTCCTAAAATTTCTTTATAAAATCTTTAATCATAACAAACTTTTAAAGTTTATGCACAAAACATTAAAAATTAATGCTGTATTAATTGATTAGTAGTGGTTGGGAATGATGCAATTTTATGTATTATGCAAATTGCAATTGACAACCTGCCCCAATTGAGAATTTTTTTTCCTTTACTGTTGGCAATGGGGAAAGTGAAATGAACGACAGAGAGAGAGAGAGAGAGAGAGAGGGGGGGGGGGAAACTGTATAAAAAAAAAAAAAAAAAAAAAAAAAAAAAAAAAGAAA